TGTGTGTGTGTGTGTGTGTGTGTGTGTGTGTGTGTGTGTGTGTGTGTGTGTGTGTGTGTGTGTGTGTGTGTGTGTGTGTGTGTGCGTGCGTTTATGTGTGTGAGTGTGTGTCTTCTTTGTAGTGCCGGTGTGTTCGAAGTGCATGTAATAGATTAAGCTCGGTGAGTACGTACATTATTGATAAGAAAGAAGAAAAATAATTGCTTAACTAAGTCTCTCTAAAATTTGTTCAGTTTCTTCGTATGTTAAGGTTTTTAACCACTCAGTTATTACCTTATTGCATACGTGTAATACCTCATGGTGGAACTTTAATTTTACGTTTATTTTATTATAAATGTAGACTGATTGGGTTGCATACTGACGCCGTGCAAAAGCGGTTCGGACCCTTAGGGAGTAAGCCACTATGTCTTTTCGTCTCCTCTCCTGACTGTCTTGGTTAAATGGAATAGATTTTTGTAAGTATAGGACCGTAATTAAGTAATATAGTTTTCTAATTGAAAGTAAGCCACTGATTCTATATAGATCGTCGGTGGAGTATCTGTATGGTTTATAGTACATTACTTTTATAAGTGACCTTTGGGCTCTTTCTAACTCAAGGAATTTAGTTTTAGTGGCTCCTCCCCAGACTGGTAAACAATATGTAAGAACTGATTGCGTAAGCATAATATAGATGCTATTTAGTGTCTTCTGAGGCATCACATATCTTAAATTTTTAAAAATCCATATAAATTTGCGCACCCGTGATGTAACAATCTCAATATGCGAATGCCAAGTTAAACACTCGTCAACTATAATTCCCAAGTATCTTGTGGACGTTATATGTTTAAGGACCTGGCAATTACAATTATGGTTCAAGTGGTCCGCACACGTGTGTATTCTAATTTTAAAATTGAGGCCTGGTTTAGATCTTAAACTAGGAGAAAAACAAATGTAGTTCGTTTTAATCACATTAATGGTTAGCAGACTGGCTTTGAGCCATCTATCTATAACAACTAATCCTTGCTCGGCATTATTGCATACTTCTTCCCACGAGTCACCAATGTAAACGATGGCCGTGGCGTCCGCGTAGGAGAAGGTTTTCCCACCACTGCTTCGTAGGTTGCATAATTCATTAATATACACTAGAAACAGTGATGGGCCGAGAACCGAGCCCTGTGGGACACCGTAAATAATGTTTTCCTCCTCACTAAGCAAGTTATCTATTTTAACTTGCTGTCTCCTACCTCGGAGGTAACTGTCAAAGAGGGAGAGAGCTTTACCTCTTATCCCTATAGCTTCAAGTCTCTGCACAAGGATGGGAACAGATACAGTGTCAAAAGCCTTTTTCAGGTCTAGAAACACCGTAACGCATTTATAACCATTGTCTACCTTATTAACGATTTCAGATGTTAACGCAATGATCGCATCCTGAGTTGACTCTCCCTGTCTAAAACCGTATTGTGAATCTGAAATAATGTTGTATTTATTTAAATATTTTACTAGCCTTTTGTTTAATATTTTCTCTATTATTTTTGAAAGGGATGTTAAGACAGATATCGGCCGATAATTGTTAACATCACTCTTGTCCCCATCTTTGTGCACGGGCGTAATTATAGAACGTTTTAGCGCATCAGGAAATACGCCCGTTTCGAAACACATATTAATCAACTGGCTAATAAAAGGAACGACTAGTTCTCGAGATAATTTAAGGAAACCCACAGGTATGCAATCCCACCCCGAAGCACTTTCTGAGTCAAGTGATCCAAGTATGCTATCCACTTCTGCCGGATCTGTCTCCAGTAGGACGAACGAGTTAATTTGAGATAGTGAATTTAAGTAAGTGACAGATCTAGATGCTTGTCCAGTTAGGGTTATGATTTCATCCGCAAGTTTTTTTCCAATAGTTGCGAAGAATTGGTTTACACGGTTTAAAGAGTCAAGAGGATGTGGTGTGATATGCAGTAGGTGTATACTAGAGGCCTTGGGTTTTTTATAATGTGTAATGTCATTAATTTTACGCCAGAGTAGTTTAAGATTTTTTAAAGAATTTAAAATCTGATTTTTATGATACTGTCGTTTGAGTTTTTTAATAAGATTAGAACAATATGTGCGAAAACGCCTGTAAGTTATAATCAATATAACGTTAAAAGGGTCTTTTCTCTTTTGTAGCTGCAATTTATTTCTAAACCTAATACACCTTAGGGCGCCCATAGTTATCCAGGGCTTTAAAGTTCGCTTGGAGCTGGACATTGAGACAACTTTAGTGTTTTGGAGGTGGGATGTCCTAATCAAGCCTATCATCGCGTCAGCTAGAATGTTTGGGTCTCTATGTGCACTAAGAAAAGATATATCTATATCTACAAGGTGCTTATACGTATTCTCCCAGTTTGCTATGGTTATATATTTGATACAAGCCTTGTTTTCGTGTTTGTGGGATATATTTAATAATACCATTGCATGATCCGTAACAGACGTGTTTAGGACAGCCACAAAAGCCGAGTTATTTAATTTGTCTAGCTTAAGGAGCATGTGATCTAGGCAGTTCTCTTCCCTTGTAGGCAAACAGTGTCCTGGGAGGAAACCATGTATAGCCGTCATATTTAAATACGTTAATCTGCTAGTTCTCATTTGTGCTGATTCAGACGGCTTTCCTATTAGGTTAATATTTATGTCTCCAGTAATAATGGTGTTTCTACGTGTGTGAATACTTTGAAGGTACTGATCAAATTAGTGAATAAAAGTTTCAGTGGATACATTCGACGGAGACCGATAGATACCAATAATGGTAAAATTTGGAATATTTATTTCCAAGGCGGATGCATGTGTTAAATTGATTTCAGTTACCTGAGGTAAGTGGCAGTTTTTTATATAGGCTACTACGCCGTCATTTTGGTTTAGTTGCCTAAATGTATTAAACGAAGTATAGTCGTTTAACACTGGTAGAGGTTTATTAGTGTTTTATCTACATTCTGTTAGGATTAGCACATCTACCTCGACTCCGATTTGAGACAGAGTTATCTGAAAATCGTCGAAGTTACTGTAAATGCTCCTTATGTTTTGTGTCAAGACAGTCATGTTATTAAAATCTCGTTGTAGGTATGTATGTAAATGTGCAATATCAAGAATAGCAGAATTAGCTATCTCAGTTGTATCTAATTCCTGTAAATTACATAAGTTACTATCCATTATTAATTAGAGTGACAAAAGGTGATTCTAAATTTTGAACAATATTTTTTTCAGTAATCTGACGACTTTTTCTGTATTTAATTATATGCGTGTAAATTGGTATATATCAAAACATTCTATATTAGGCACTGTGAAGAATAAGTGTGGGTGTGGGTATATTGAGTGAGTTTGTTGTTTTTGTTTTATGATACGGAGTGTTCGAAGCAAAGTGTTTGTGTGTGTAACAGCGAGCTGAGCATGCTTACAATGGTAATTAAAGTAGTTTAAAATATATCTGTATTGATTAAAATTAAACAAAACATTATTTATACTAATAGAAAAAGGCAACGTTATTAGTACTAAGAATATTTTAATGATTGTGACAGTACATACTAGTCATGCTTCTTGCATCAGCTGTTGTACCTGGGCCTCACTTTTGATGGCAATTACTCGAGAATTTTCATCTTTTTTTACTAAAATACGACCAAATGAGTTTCTTGTAACACTTTCTTTTTTCTGATACTGTTCTAGGGTTTTTCTTAAATTAGTATTTTCTAAGTTTAACTCTGTAATCTCATTATGTGCACTGGCTAGTTGCAGAGTTAATTAATCTATTTAATTCTTAAGATCTATAAGTTGTGAATTTTCTAGTAGGATAATTAAACTTCTTGAAGATGTTTCCGACGCTAAGTTTATATTACTGCTATCCGAATGTAAATATCATATATTTCTTAAAGATGCTTTTTTTTCTCAATTTTATTTCTTACAGTTATGTTTACTTTACTTAAACCTAATAATACGAGTATAGGGGATTCAATCTCCTATACTCGTAAAAGTTAATAATGAACAAGCCTGGATTTGAACTCAAGATTTCTTAGAATCGTTAAAAATTCATGTGTTAATACTCCATTACACCAATCAAGCACCTTGCGTTGGAGTCAAAATAACGTTCTGGTTGTCCAAACTTTCTTTAACGAACGTTGAAAGCATGAGTATTTGAAATCAATTTAGAAACACCGTCTTTACAATTTTATTGCAATTATCACATCACTAGTTATACACAAAATTTCCAGTTTAAAATTTTATTTTCACTCACGGTTTTAGAAAAATGTCAATAAAGTTAATTACTGTTCGGTAAGTTTGTAATTAATTCTTATTTGAACAATTAATAGTTGTTTGTAACCGCGTAAGTTTTAGGATGATATTTCAATTATCATATTACTTTATTATAATGCAAAATAACACTCTCACTTCTTTTCTGTTATGTTTACGTTGCACTGTAAAGTAAAGTAAAGTATACGGAGTCAATACTGCAACCGCGAGTGCGTCCAATGATATTTTGATGATTCTTTGATGATGATGATGATGATGACATGAGAAGCACCAGATTTCAATTAAAAAAAGAATTGTCAAAAAAAGTTCCGAGGTAACACATAAAAAATACAGTCGAATTGAAACCTCCCCCTTTTATGAAATCGGTTAAAAAATTATTCTATTCTATTCTATTTATATTTTTCTGAACCTTTTAAAAGTTGATTATAAGACCACCATGTAAATACGGTGATGGTTTATTAATAAAACAATGGGTGAAAAATTCTTACTTTTTAATCGTGTAATTAAGAAAACTATCACAAAATACACAAATTAGCAGTCGAGAAACAAGTTTGTTTTTAAGATTTTTTGATATTCGTTTATTTAAACATGTACAACGGATTTTTTAAAAATAAATAAAGTGAAAATTAGTTAAATACATTATTAATACGTTTTAAAATCATGATGTACTGCTGTGGCGCGCATAAAATCCTTGGTCTTACAAAAGTTTTTCAAACTTCTTTCTATCTTCTTTAAAATCAGAATTAAAAGCTTTGATTAATTGTGTCATCATTCAATATTGTTTTATTCATTTCCGACTGTTCTACTGTTTGTGTTCTCAAGCCTGACACCCCCCAAGACTTGCTTCTCTTCAGGGGCGGACGGCCACGGATACGGCCTTCGTATTTATGACGTTTGTGATTAAGCGGACTGATCTCGCAGTCAGACATCTCTTCATATTTACGTTTGGATGCGGACGATGTTGTAGAATCATTGTCCCCGAACGATTTAAGCGGCGAAAGAGAAGCTGAAAATAATAAAGTGTGTTAGATTTTTTTTTATGAAGTGGGTGGGGATACACCTCAAGCAATGCAAGTGATGCCATCCCACCTTGCCACATATTCCCTTATAACGACAACCTACGGGGGGAGACCTGTGTTCAGTAGTGGACTATTGAAAGTATGCAATGATGATGATGGTGATTAAGTCTGCCTTTTATTCGTGATTGCACTTTAATATTATTATATGGTAATATTTCTTTTATCCTTTTGCGCCTACTACGATATTTCACTACGCAGGTATTGACTGGGAGAGATAACCAAAAGACATTTAGGCCGCCCTTTGTGACCCTTTTATTTAAGGTGATAGCAATAAAGCATAAATAATTAACTAAATAACAGATGGACAGATGTCTACCATATTATATGCTCTATCCGCATCCTATCATTGGTTTTAGTATTTAAAATTTGGTATAAAAGACGATTGTAATGTCTGTTATTGCGGAAATTTCCTTCAATTGCACCTTACGATATTAGACTTGCCATCACCACCGTAAAACCCTTATATCGAGGCAGGAACTAAGAAAGGGGAATGCCCAATTCTGGCCATGAAACGCCCAACAATTTGCATTTGTTAAAAAAATAAATCTTTTTTTATGGTAATTAATCGCAGTATTTATGTATCCAAAAATGATTGCAATATGTTTGCACAAAAAAAAGTACCGAAAAGATAAAAATGAAATTAGGTAAATCCGCAAGTTATTAGTTTGTGGGTAAAATAAAAAGTGTGCCAATCAAAAATCTCGTCAAAAAGTCGATTCTGTTTTTTCAATCGATTTTTTATGGTGTTATTATTATAATGGTAATATATTATTTTTTGATAATTATTTTGATATGATAATTAAACAAGCGAATTGCTAGTTGATTTACCATGAACTCTTTAGAACATAACAAAAACGCTACTGCAATTTAACTGTTATTCTTATCTGTTCTTAAAAATACATTTAAAATGGAATTTAAATAAATAAAACAAAACATATTTAAAAACGCGTGCAGAACTTAAAGCTAATCAAAGATTATTATTTTTTATGAAATTATAAATCGAATAAAAAAATCGCTATCTATTTATCGCTTTTATGTCTGTTAGTTGGCAACATCAAATCTGACAACTAGGCCCATGTCATAATTATCAAAACTAAATAATCACAAGTTGAATTCCTTTGCATTTGTGTTATTTTGTTTGTTTTCTCGCGGATTTGTTATCTTAGCAACGATTAAGCTTTCTAAATGGACTCCGATAATCCTTCTCGCCCTATTGACCGCGGCCTGAAAATGGATCCCGCTCCCACTTCTTACGATAACCTCTGCACGAACTTGGACTCGATATCCACTTTTAACGATGACCCCAGCTTTGACACCGGCCAGAGTTCACAGCTCTTAATAACTCATTCAAGAGAACATTTACGCTGTGTTAATTGTGGTTTAAATGTAATGAAAATACGAAGTCATTTGTTGTTAAAAAACTGTTCTTGTGAAAATAAAAAACCTTTATATCTTAAAAATCCGGACTTTTTTTAAACCAATTCCTTAACCATTCCATTCTTTTAATTGCATATTATCATTTCCATATGCTTTTATATGTGGGCACCCATGGCCGAAGAGTCTGTGAACGGTGGGCATTCCCCTTTTAATGTAATAATTTTTATTATAATTATTATTCTCTCCCGGTTGTGCAGATCAAGGAACTCGTTATGTACTCGTATAATGTATATAGCGTTGGTAGCGTCGTTCTTTTTTAATTCAGTAAGGCATGCAGTTTAATTAGAAGCCATTGTAATACTTGCAACATTAAAGAAATTTTAATTCTTCATAAACTTTAAATAACGTTATAAAAAGTTTATATCACAGGTTATCTTCTAATTTAGATGAGCTTAACAGATCCAATTTAATAGGTCACGTTTTAAATAACTTTCGCAAAATATACAATGTAAAAGCGCCAGGGAACGAAGTAAGTAGGGACAAAATTACGATCCATCACCCTAAAATGCGTGCTACAGTGTCGGAAGTAAAAAGGGGAAAGAAATAAAATGTAATAAAATAAGGCGACCCTCTGTGTAAAATAAAGTGATTGGAGTAGCAAAAAATGCTACGTAAGTTTATAAATGTAAAGCATTTCTAGAAATTTAAAGATTCTCGCAAAGTAATTTAGAAGCTTAATTGTATTTTTCTACATACTGGGGTACAAAGAAATGCTAGATTTAGACAAATACAGTGATTAGGTATATAAATTTACCGTTACAGCCTACTAAAGTCTACTGTTGAAAAAAGGCCTTCTCCATATATTACGTCATAGGGGGGATATGTGCTATAGTTGCCGAGCTTGGCAAGCGGGTTGGCAACCGTAGTTTATTCAGAGATTGCAGAGCACTCAAAAGGGCTATGCATGATTTTTTTCATTTACTCGTTAAGTACAGTCAACCAAAAGTTAACCACTGAACATATTATGCTTTCTCTTTAAGCTAAACGCACATTGGCAGCACCGTACGCGCTGCACGCGCCTTACGCAAATCTATTGTATTGCCAACAACTGCTGCAGTTTTTACCAATCATTGGTATGAAACCGTACAGTGATATCGCGCGGAATCGTTCGGACCGCTATGCAAAAAAATTTTGTAATAGTCTGCTTATTGGCAGAGGAAGAAGAAAATAAAATTCGAAGAATACGAAGATTCTGGATTCAAAATATCAATCTAAAAAGGCAGTTGTATGGAGAATATTATACTTTATTTAATGACTTATCGCCAAGCGTGTCAACTATGGCAATATACCCCCCATGAGCAATGACAATAATAAACGGCCCCCAGTCCCCGGCGGCCCCGCTATTCCCGGCTACGGTGGCCACCATGGTAACGGCGGGGCAGGGGGTGCTAAGAATCTCCGGTGGAGGTTCGGTTGCCACCTGAGACGACTCGGCCTGGCAACATACAACGCTCGCACCCTGAGGACTGACGAGATGATCGTGGAACTGGAAGAAGAGATAGACAAGTTACGCTGGCATATTATAGGATTATCCGAAGTCCGAAGAGAGGGGGAGGACACGGTAATCCTCGAATCCGACAACTTGTACTATCACAGGGAGGGCGACCATCTGTCCAAAGGAGGTGTCGGATTTATCGTCCACAAGTCTCTCGTTAACAACGTTGTAAAGATTGAGAGTGTGTCGACGAGGGTTGCGTACCTCATACTCAGAATCACCAAACGGTATTCGCTGAAGTTCATACAGGTTTACGCACCAACCTCGGCACACCCCGATGAGGAGGTGGAGGAAATGTATGAGGATATCTCTAGAGCCATGTATTCCCCCAAATCCCAATATACAGTGCTAATGGGAGACTTCAATGCAAAACTAGGCACAAGAGAGAACGGTGAGCTGAAAGTAGGGAAATTCGGAATAGGACAACGAAACCCAAGGGGCGAGCAGCTGGCCGACTTCATGGAAAAAGAGGGACTCTTTATGATGAACTCTTTCTTCCAGAAGCGGCCCCACAGGAAGTGGACCTGGTCGAGCCCCGACGGTTCCACAAAAAATGAGATTGCTTTCATTATAACGACCAGACGACAACTGTTCAGTGATGTCTCTGTAATCGCGAGGGTGAAAACTGGTAGCGATCACCGAATGGTTAGAGGCACACTGAACCTAAACGTTAAGTTGGAGAGTTAGCGTCTAATGAAGTCAACGCTCCGTCCCCCTCGTGCTCTGTTCCCAAGTCCCGAAACATTTCCGCTCGAGTTACAAAACCGTTTTCAGTGCCTAGAAGACTGCAATGAAGTGGACGATATGAATGACAAGCTCGTGGAAACTGTCCATGCGGTCGGAGCTAAGTTCTGCAAGACCCGCCGCAGACGAACACAAAAACTCTCTGATCATACTGTCAATCTTATGGCTGTTAGAAGGGAGATGAAGCTACATTCTTCAACAGATTTGACAGCATACAGGCAACTGAACAGACAGATCATAAAAAGCATGCAGCGGGACTTACGCAACTTCAATACAGCTTGTATTGAAGAAGCGATCGAGCGGAACCAAGGCTCCAAAGTCTTTTCCAGAGATCTGTCTGCCAGAAAGAGCTAACTGTCAGGGCTGAAGACCGAGTGTGGCAGCATCGTTTCCGGGGCACCTGAGATTTTGAGTAAGATTGAGAGGTTCTATGGGCAGCTGTACACGTCATCTTTGGAGCCACACGCAAGTGTGAGTAAGGATCCAAGAGCGAGCCTTATCTAACACTATTCCGAAGATATCCCGGACGTCAGTCTGAGCGAGATTAGAATAGCTCTCCAGCACCTTAAAAACAGCAAGGATCTAGGCGAGGATGGAATAACAGCGGAGCTTCTGAAAGCGGGTGGAAGACTGGTACTTGAAGACCTTCAGAAGCTCTTTAATTCCGTTCTCCATGGTGGCGCTACACCGGAGGCGTGGAGCAGAAGTGCAGTGGTCTTGTTCTTCAAGAAAGGTGACAACGCTCTCTTGAAGAACTACAGACCGATTTCCCTTCTGAGCCGCGTCTACGTGCTGTTTTCGAGAGTCATTACTAATCGTCTCGCGCGCAAACTTGACGACTTCCAGCCTCCCGAACAAGCCGGTTTCCGAAAGGGCTTTAGCATCAAAGACCACATACATACCCTTCGGAAAATTGTACAGAGGTCCGAAGAGTACAATTTGCCACTATGTCTGGCGTATGTGGACTATGAGAAAGCCTTTGATTCCGTCGAAATTTGTGCTGTATGTCCATGTCACACCTATGCCGATAGTTATAGGGAGTACTAAGCTCGGAGTTGTTGACGAGTATGTTTACCTGGGACAAATAGTCCGACTAGGTAAGTCCAACTTTGACCGAGAGGTCAATCGACGGATTCAACTCGGCTGGACAGCGTTCGGGAAACTACGACACATCTTCTCGTCAGACATACCTCAAAACCTTAAAACAAAATTGTACAACCAGTGCGTGTTGCCAGTGACGACTTACGGATCTGAGACGTGGTCCTTCACTGCTGGCCGTATGAGGAAGCTTAAAGTCGCTCAGCGAGCTATGGAGAGAGCTATGCTCGGGGTTTCTCTGCGTGATAAACTTAGAAATGAGTATATCTGCAGTAGAACCAGAGTAACCGACATAGCCCAACGGATTAGTAAGCTGAAGTGGCAGTGGGCTGGCCATATAGCTCGAAGAACCGACAACCGATGGGGAAGAAATGTTCTTGAGTGGCAGCCTCGTATCGGTAGGCGAAGTGTAGGGCAACCCCCCACGAAATGGAGTGACAACCTGGTAAGACATGCAGGAAGTCGATGGATGCAGGTGGTTTAGGACTGTGCTTTGTGGCATTCCTTGGGGGAGGTCTATGTTCAGCAGTGGACTTATGAAAGGCTGTAGTGATGATGATGACTACTTTTTATATTACAACTGATCATAAATAATCCTTAATATTTTTACTGCAACATAAAATATATTTCAAAATGAATGTCGAAACCACCATTTTTGTGGGAAATTCACTAAGTTGGCAACATTAGATAACACTAAGTATCAGCACACGCCGAACGCAACGCGTTTTATGACGGAATCAGCATGTCTCCTTCAATATTCGGATACCTACCGTATTTTTTAAAATACGGCGCGTACGGTGCGGGTGTAATGTGCGAGGTTTCATATAATTTTATGCAAGAAATTCTTAAATGCGGCGAGTACGGCGCGTGCGGCGCGTACGGTGCTGACAAATGTGTGTAGATTACCTCATATTTGAATTTGCCATAGTTACTATACGTGTTATATAGCCATGGTACTTAATGCCGCATGTCAAATAAATTAAATTTCGTATGTCGAGTGTATGGAACCGAAGACCTTTTTTACTGGAAACAAGGCAATCTATATTAGACCTCAAGGATGACAACGCATCCAAATTTTGATTATTAAATGAGGATAGATTTAGACGTCTACGGATCACAGCATCTACCATCCCATACCATCAGGTGGATTGTGTGCTCGTTAGTTACCTTTCTTCCAAAAAAATCTACCATTAGCAACCTCCGTTCTTATTATTATTAAGTTATTGTCAAGAAAATTCTGCAGCCCATCTCCAGTTCCAGTTTCAGTTTCACTCTGTCACTTCTTATGACATATGAGTTGATAGATTTTTTTAACGGCGCATTTTTAAGACGATATTATAAAAAATGAATACACATACAGTTCAAGCGGTCACATTGACACTGTAATATATAAGCATGTGATTATCGTGCCCTCACGATTCACGCTTTGCTCTACGCAGTGAGCATGAAACTGAGGCCTTACTTTAAGAATCGAACAGCGAGCGTTTGGCGGGACGTGTGGCGTTGCGTCGCGTTTCCTACACGTCGCGAGCGGCCGCAGCTCAGAACACTAATACAAGAGCGTGTATGTCATGCACGCCAAACCGTAGATATCTTAGTGTAGGAGACACGGTAAGTACATTATTTTTTCACTTTTTGTTATTGCACAAATATGGACTTGGCTTTGAATTAAAGCATGAAAATCGTAACTTAATAGTTAAATAATCCCACTACTAAGCAATGCAGTACTTGATAAATGTTTTGTAGCTCTATAAGTATAAACTGTTTGTGATTACCTGGATCGCTCCAAAATACATTTTTGACTGCCCTCGCTACCGATGTCCAAATGTTTTCTTTATTTGTCTGAGATTCTGTACCAATTTTATTTCTCTTTTCCTCCACACCCACACAATCATCCGCGATCCTTTTCACACTTACTTTCTTTTTCGTTATCACAAATTTGAATTGTATTTCAGTTTCGTCCTCAGTTGTTCGTAAAACGGAGTTGAGACATGTTTGTAAAGTGCCAGCAATGTTTGCAGTTAGGGTTGTTATAGCGTTGTTGATCGGTTCGACGGGAGTGTCTATACAAGTGCTGAATAATTCATTCGATTCTCTTGAGTGGCTTTCTATTTCAACAGCGGAGCTTTCTTCTTTAAAGTTTATTGCCCTCGCTTGCATGTTGTGCTCACCGACGGGTGGTGTTGTTTCAGAAAGTTTTTCTCGTTTGGTTTGCACTGGAGTCCTGGCTTGGCTTTCGAATCGATTAATAAGCGCTTGAAAGCGGGGATTGTGACAAAATCGTGGTCGTTGGGGGCCTGGAGTTAACATTCTCTTAGGTTTTCTATACACTAAAATAAAGAATAAAAAGAGTATGTAAAATTTTATTATTTTTAATAGAATAAGGATAACAAACAAGCACACAGTCCACCTGACGGTAAGTGAATGCCGTGACCCTTAGGCATCTACATTTATCCTCGATTAAGAATCAAAATGCAAATGCTTGTAACAACTGAAGACTAAAATGGTTTGCCGCGTTTCCACTTAATAAAGATCTCCAGTTCTCTACACTTATCAGACTAAACACAGCAGCATTAGGCTGCTATTTTACTCTGTTATTCTGTGAGATCGTGGTTCTCGGGTTGAGCCGACCCTTTTCTTGCAACTACCATAATATAGCTAAAGCGTGCTTCTACCACGTATAAACTTATGTCTATTAATAGGAAAATTAGAAAGAAATCTATACGAGCATATTATTTGCGAAATATTAATAATAATTAATCTTTAGCGAAAATATAAGTAAATTATAATTTCAAATGCATAACAATATATTAATTTGCCTTTAAGCGGCGCGTTACAAAATTATTAAGTAAATTTATTGTCTGCATTGTCATTAATTCTATAGAGTGTATCAAGAGGGATAAATCTTTTAAAATAGAACACTTTTCTTTGACGTTATGCCTGCATAATACCACTACTATTTTATAATGTGAATATGATTATAAATATAATATCATAAATATAAATATTAATAAACTACGACTGTTTAGCTTGTATGATCCAGGGGGATCGGCGCATGAGTACCGAAAATAAGTCCACCTCAAATTTTTTTATGCGATTCTCTTCACATTGTCCTACTGGTCATATAAATGCATATTGCCATATTTTTATATTCTTAAGACAATATTTAATAATATCCTTATGCGATTATACGATATGAAAAAAAAAAAACAACGGCCATTTGAAAATAATGTCAAATTTAGTACCCGGTGCACTCAATAGCAGCACTTCAAATCAGTCTATCGTACTAGTAGACGAGTATAGGTACTCTTATATGGAGGCCAGTCATACAATAATTTCCACACAATACCTTCTGTATTCAGTACGAAGACATTATGTATAGAAGTATTAAAGTCCCACTTCATTATTACATGAATAAAATAAAAAATAAATAAAAATAAACCTTTATTATTTTCTCCCACAAATTGTACATTGCATATTTTATCTTTTAAAAACATATATATATTTTTTATAGACAAAAAGTAGATAAATTTGTGGGAGATGGGAGTCCAAACTAGGATACCCTGTGCTATGGATCTCCCGGCTCCCCATTTAGGATGATCAACTAGATTTTTTTTCTTTTTTTTTAATTATATAATATAGCAGAGACATTTTTTCAGAGCATACGCGTAAGCGGTTTAATCTTATTGTTTGTGTGTGTGTGTGTGTGTGTGTGTGTGTGTGTTTGTTTGTGTTTGGGTGTGTGTGTGTGTGTGTGCGTGTGCGTGTGCGTGTGCGTGTGCGTGTGCGTGTGCGTGTGCGTGTGCGTGTGCGTGAGCGTGAGCGAGCGCGTGCGCGTGCGCGTGCGCGCGCGCGTGTGTGTGTGTGTGTGTGTGTGTGTGTGATAACTCGGACTTGGTATGTTAAGATGTAATTTGCAGTAATTGTTCTGTTTTTTTTTCATAATCAAGTTTAAGCAGCCAATCTGAAATTTTCTTGAATGAATTTAATACATACCTACAATATTCAATTTTTAATATTACATTATTATATTTTATTTTTCAACATGATGCTCTGCCATTAGGTTTATTGCAATATGCAGTTTTTGGATATGTATCCTTAAAATCGACGAATATAAAATGAAATGAAAAGTTTTTATTTCTTTTATGTAAGAAATAAAATTTCGGTTGTTAAATGTAATTTTTTAAATCATTTTCGATCTCCAATCAAATCTCATTTTATGGAACAAAGTGGGTTCCAGTTCAATCATCGTGTTACTCGTGGACCAGCGACAAGCGACGGGAAGCAAGTCAGTTGTGCAAGACATTCAAAATGCAATCACCAATGCGCTTGCCAAATGTATCAATTACGTAAATACAGAGAGGATTAACTATTACGGGAAAAAGTCCATGACGATGAGCTGCTAACGTCCCAATAAGGAAGAATCTGATTAATATAAAAATACAAATTTCATACTTTAGCAGCAATAATAAAGCTTAGTTTAAAGTCTGGTTTCTCAGTTCTCAATTTTAAAAAGTAAATATTACTGAACATACATGTGTTCTAATACAATAGATATTGGTTGCCTAACGAAGGTTTACAAATGATCCACCACATTTGTAGCATGCAAAAATTATACATATTTTAAAAGACTTAGCTGTACCTCTTTTGACCTTTGTTTCCGGTTTGAAAACAGTATCCTCTGCAAATTTAACCTTCTTTGATTTTACAGACGATTCAGTGCTATTTCCAGTTTCCTGGGAAGTATTTGGTTTTTCTGAGCTATCTTGGCTACCAATGCGAATGCGGCTTTCTGTCACAATAATGCTTTTTAGTTTAGGCTGTACAATATCCGATTCTATTTTTGGCTGTAAAGAGATTAAAATTTTTGTATATACAATAAATATTATAATGATATAATTATATAAGTAGCGCAAATACCGACAACGGTAAACTAATATTTATACGGTATTCTGAGGTAACTGGCAGCCTAGTACCGACAGGCAAAGTGTAGGGCGTCCCCACACTAGATGGATTGACGACCTGGTAAGGTAGGCAGGAAGTCAGTGGATGCAGGTGGCTCGGTACCGTGCTTTGTGGTATTCCTTGGGGGAAGCCTATGTTCAGCAGTGGACTTGTGAAATTCTAACGTATGTACTGCAATAGTATTTAAAAAAATCATAAAACACTCTTAAAAAAACTTACGTCATTATCAACACTTTGTGCAGGACTTTCGGTAGTCTCAATTTCTGAGAGCGGTGAGTCAGCTCCCTGTTCTTGAAATAACGACCATCCCCCAGTAGCTGGATTCGTTGGAGTACTAGTTGTGACAGCTTGTGTTAGCTTTAGAACGTGATGTAGTTGTGAAGTTGGTGTTGTCACTTCTTTTTGAGAGTCTGAAACTGTTTTAGCATGACTATTGAATGTCTATTTGGTATTAATTAGATATTTCAAGAACAAGTATTACAAAAACTAAATAAGTAAACTTCATGCTTAAAATTGAAAATTATTTCTAGACTAACATAAGCAAAATATTATACCTTCTAAACGTTCTATTCCAGAGGGAGTTACACTAATAGGCGTTTCGTTAATATTTTCATCTTCAACATGAGTTTCTTCAAACTCTTCAATAGCCTTCTGACGCATTAAACGTATAAACTTTTTTGAATGGGGAGTAGCATTTCTTTGTTTTTTTAGTCGAGGAGTCTTTGGAGCTACCTTTGGATGAGGGGTCCTCATGATTTCTACTTTTAGACTATCCTCGGACTCTGTTTCACTTGATTCATAATCTACTAGGTGTTTGTTCCTAACTACTGGTGTAATTACTGCAGTTTTATTAGATTTGTTAATGGAAACAATCGCTTCAAAACCTTCGCCTTCATTGTTATTTGTAACTTTATCGTAAAGTGAATCAAACTTTTCATCAATCCCCACTGAAACGTTAGTTTCAACCAAACATTCTGTATCAACTAACTCCGATATGGTGATACATTTGTCGATGTCGACCAAGTCTTCCATTTTGTCGAAGACTTTGTTACACTTTTTACATTGAAGTGGAATATGCTCGTCGGCTAGATGCTGTATGAAGTCTTGGTTTAATTGTTCGGGTCTACACAAGAATCTTTTCCCACGACAAATTGGACAATCGTAAGTTAAGTTGTGTTCTGTTCTTTCATGTCTCCAACGACATTCAGCACAACAAAAAACTAGTTGACAAACTATACATCGAACCTAAAAATGATAACATGAAAATATTAATTGCGAAACACTCATAAGATATAATCATATATATCTTATATGTAACAACCATTGCGGCTATATTTTACTGCCCGGGTGGAAATAAAATATAGGGTATAATGTTATGGTTTATACAATAAAATACAATAAAATGTTTCTCTCATCTAAATTGATAAAACATTAGTGCTCACAGCGAAGTATAATATTCGTTTCTATTATATTTTTTTAAAAACAGGCGGAAAATGGCCGGAATCGACCGCTGCGACGGATGACAGTTACGTATTATCAATATTTGTGTATAGTCGGGATGGATTACATTTATTGTTCAGGGGATATAAAGATGACAAACAAAATCTATTAATATAAAGATGTATATAATGGAATTTTACAATTTATTACCTGCCAAATTTTGCAGGCGTTTTAACAATCTATGACAATACAATAATTTCTTAACAATGACCTAGTATTTTTCTAGGCTCATCACAACTTATGATTAAAGCTTTGTAGATGGAGTAAAAGTGTGTTACATGGAGCTACATTTGTAATATTATTATTTCAAACTCTATATAATATCATATTCTATGTTAGATTTACACTGTGCTTATGATAATTAAGGGAACCGCATTATTATGTTCCACGGTCATAAAGGCTTCTCTTCGACATTCCTAAAGTATTGACTATTGAGTGGGGTGGCGGTAATTGACCTGTTGACCTATTTACTCGGGTTTGAATTAGTGAACTTATAAAAGCCAACCTAACACAATCTACACAATCTACGTACGTGTGAAAAACAAGACGAAAAAGGGAATTATTGACGAAATTTAAGATTTTACCTAATTATAAATATGGGGCTTGAGTAATATAAACATTTATTTCTTTAAAACCCTAATTACATTCCATTAGAAAAAAAAGGATAGAGATAGCGGTCTTAATGCCTAAAGGCATTTTCAACCAGACAATCCATGGAGTGGTGAGAATTGGACGTAAGTGTAGTAATTAAAAAAAAAGAAAAGAAAGATTTATATATAAAAAAGAATAAATACAAATCGTACAAAACACACAAGTGATTTAAAAGGCATTTATCTGACCGCCATCAACAAGTAATTTAATACAGGCACAGTGGTACAAACTGAATTTCTAAGCTTCTTCCTGTTGATAGATGTGTAGATGTGTTCCTTAATGTTCCATGTTAGGGCCTTTGCTTTTTATATTTATAGCGCTGACATAATAAACTGTCTCAAAAACTGTATATACTATCTATACTTTGATGATTTACAGATTATATATATATATACCCGTAGATCGAATAAATATTAACAAATTAGTAAATACTCGTAAGTTAAATCAGAATACGTGGTAGAACCATGCTGCAGCTATATCAGTAGTATAGTTGTACCACGAATGGGTCGGCTCGACCGGGGAAGGACCACGCTCTCACAGAATACCAGTCTAAAATAGCAGCTTAACAATGCTGTGTTTCTTATGGTGAGTGTAGCGAACTGGAGACCCTTTTTACTGGAAAAGAGGCATTCCATCTTAGTCCTCACGGGTGACAACGCATCTGCATTTTAATTCGCAAACGATGATAGATGTAGATGTCTATGGGCCACAGCAACCACTTAACATGAGGTGGACTGTGTGCTCGTTTGTCACCCTATCACATATAATTTAAAATTAAAAATTTTGTACAGCCGACTTCAATATAAGTTATTAAGAATAACTCAAATAACTCAAAAACTATTGGTCTGACCTTGATCAAATTCATATGGGACCACACAAGAAGTATCAGCTTTCATATAAAAAAAGAATCATTGAAATCGGTCCACCCAGTAAAAAGTTATGAGGTAACACACATAAAAAATAACATACGCGTCGAATTGAGTACCGTCTCCTTTTTGGAAGTCGGCAGAAAAAAAGGAATCTTAAACGTGTATACGATTGGTCACAAAAATACTCCACGGTTCCTATTCCTTCAAAGTCAAAATTCCTTATCAGTGGAGTGCCACTGATAAGGAATTTTGACTTTTAGTGAAAAAGCAGGCACACGATATAGCTATAGGTAAACCTGATATACGTGTTGACGGAGAGACAATTACACAAGTTCATGAAGCACGATATTTATCATGATACGATATATATTCATGGAGCATGATAAAATTTCAATTATCTAACCACAATACGAGTAATGCATAAAAATCAATAATGAAATTACTTACAGTAAAATTACTCGATTTTAGTATGTACAATTTATATTTCTACGGTGTGTTTCATGCTTTACATATGTTATTACGTACTAAGCATATTATATGTTATTGAGTGCTATATATTTTATAACGATTGATTTAAATTTTTCGTTAAATTAATTTTTAGTGCACTGCTTTCTATGCTTCTACTATTATTATTTCTGCATATTCAATCACAAGAGATTTTTTTTCTTTATTTACTTACTCACAATTATTATTACAAGAGTGGAGCCTAATGCAACAATGTGGCCACTAATGTAAAAAAGACAAATAGTTTAATGTCACCCTCTCGAAATCCGCCACTGTACAATTAAATATGTCTAATCGTTGTGCTACGATGTTAAGCATTCTAGCTGCACGAACAACCGTTGCGTACTTTAAGATATTTGTACGAGCAACTGGTAGGTCCAGCAACCCTCCCCTCAGCCCCCGTCGCAGCCTAGGATTAGACACGAGGAACCGCAGTGATTCCAGAATTTCCTGATTGTTTAATCTACCACGCAATATCAAGTATAGGTACTTAAGTAGCGCAAAGTTACGTCTAACCTCCAACTTATAATATCCAACCATTCCTATTACAAAAAGGGTTGGATACATAAGAAGATAAAAAGGGTACACCCCGTATTGCTTTAAATAGAGGTACCGGGTAAATTTATTCTGTATTTTCGCCAGCAGAAAATATATAACAATTTCAGATGGAAAGTGTGAGAGTGATATCGAAAGAAGAGTGAATGCAGGAAACATGGTGAATGGAGCTTTGCACTCTTTTATGGGCAGTAGGAAGGTGTCTAACAAGTTGGCTGTGCATGTCGGAACCACCTCTGTGTTGGTTCCGACACTCATGTACGGAAGTGAAAGTTGGGTATGGCAGAAGAAACACGAAAGCAGAATAAATGCAGTTGAGATGAGAGCGTTAAGAAGTATGATAGGAGTTAAACTGAGTGACAGGATAAGAAATAGTGAGATAAGGAAACGTTGTGGTCTGAAAGAAGATGTAGTGATAAAAATTGAGAAAGGTATGCTGAGATGGTTTGCCATGTCGAGAGAATGAATGAAGAACGATTGACGAAAAAAGTATATAAGGCGAGAGTGAATGAAAGTGTTGGAAGGGGTAGACCAAGGTGGACATTTCAAGACCAAATTAGGGACGTCTTGAATAAAGGCCAGGTCAAGAGCACCCTAAACCGTAGAGCATGTATGATTATAGCATGTGCAATATAGCATGTAGAATAATGAAAGTGGACGAAGCGAAACAAGTATGTAAGGATCGTAGCAAGTGGAAGGAAGTGGTCTCTGCCTACCCCTACGGGAAAGAAGCGTGATTATATGTATGTATGTATATTCAATCAGAGGCCAGGAAGAAATCTAATCCGGCTGTCGTCTTTTACGAACAATCTCCTATATTTATTTCTGCATATTCAATCAGAGGCCTGGAAGAAACCTAGTCCAGCTGTGGTCTTTTACGAACAATCTCCTATATTTATTTCTGCATATACAATCAGAGGCTTGGAAGAAACCTAGTCCATCTGTGGTCTTTTACGAACAATCTCCTACATTTATTTCTGCATATTCAATCAGAAGCCTGGAAGAAACCTAGTCCAGCTGTGGTCTTTTACGAACAATGTCCTATATTTATTTCTGCATATTCAATCAGAGGCCTGGAAGAAACCTAGTCCAGCTGTGGTCTTTTACGAACAATTAAAATCTTATGATCTTTCGATAGGCTCCAAACAGTCTTAAGCATTATGTTTTTCACACGTATACACTATTTTATTCACTAATATTTGAAGAAGTAATTACAAACATGCGTACTCACCTCAACACGGCTCTTCATGATTAATTCCAATCATATTGGGTCAAAGAATCAGTATATACTGCCAGTGGTCTAGCAGAGTATTCTTCCTTAGAAATTCTCTTCAACACTTAATCAATCACAAATTATAATGTATTGTGATCAATATTGTCAGCACAAATAGAAACTACTAAAAACTACTTACAAAAGCGTTCCACAGATAGACAAAGCTTATTGTAATAAACGCTAAGAAAATTTTGACGAATTATCTCAATCTACCTTCTTAATCGAGACATTATATTTATTCGTCTTCATTAATAGGTATTGAATATTTAAAATGTATGAATAAGAATTGGAAGATAATAATATTATTGGTAATTATTACGGTAACGATGATTTTTTATTAATTTATTATACCTGAATATATTCTTACCGGGTTCTTAGATATTTAATTTTAACATTATTATATAATGGATTTCCGCAAAGCTACGCCTGATTTTGTAACTAATTTAAAAAAAAGAATTTAAAAATTTAAAATTTATAATAAAATTAAAATTGATAATATTACAAACCGACTTCAAATAACTAAAAAAAAAATCATTTTCAAAGAAAAGGCTTGTTTTTATAAAAAGGAAGTTAAAACGAATTTACCTGATGTTAAGCAGCCACCCAGGCCTAATTTTGCATTTGGTTATTGTGATTCGTTTCGTTCGAATAGCTACTAAGTATTTAGCAAAGCCCTATAA